TCAAAGCAATAAAATTCAGATTCCATACATTCTCTGATTTTCTTCTTTTTGTACGTCATTGAAGAGTTGCTTCGTGAGGTCATCCATTTTCTCTGTCAAAAAATATTTCAGTATTTTTAAGACCTTTGTGCAAGTACGTGCATTTATTAAAACAGTATGAGCACAATGAGAAGTTTTGTTTTAATAAGCAATCCTTAACATATTTTAAGGCTGAAATTACTCTCTCAAATGCCAAAAATTATCACAGTAATTTTACAAGTCATGCTATAGAATAAAAGGGTTCTGAAACACCAAAGTGTTATTCATCTAAAGTATACTTGATCTCATGTGATGCCTGTGTCCTTTGAAATTAGAGTCATAAAAGCAGTATATTAAAGGAACCAAGGACAAAGCAACATTTTGAAGGAATGCATGTGTATGAAACAGGAAACGTAACAGGAGGAGAGATTTTGCTACTGAAATAACAAATTTAATTTAATTACCAAATTAAAAGCATTTGCACTACACATTCTAAGCAAGAGAAGCTTAGGACCAACTTTTAATTTACTGTAAATTCAGCATTTAAATTGCTTTTATTAGAACAAAAGTAATTTACCTTTGCTGAAAACCTGACTTTACAACTTTCCCCCACTATAATTCCTTCATAACTCCTTTAAAACTCGTTTTAGTTATTGTACCTTTCATTTCCTCAGTTTTTTCTTGGAGCTTTATTTCTAAGGTCTCTTTCTGTTCTTGTAATTCTTTATTCTGATTCTCAAGTTTTAAGATTTTCTGTACACACAAAAAGTAAACATAATATACAAATTACAAAGGAGGAAGAAATAAGTCACAGAGGTCTTACATTTTAACAAGCATATATGGACTCTCTTCCTTCCCTGCCACCCCCCCCCCAAAAAGTGAAGTTACTAAGTAACTCTCGAATCATGCATTTGATAAATCCAGCAGCGGAAAAAATCATTTAAACTAAAATAAAAGCCCCCAGATGGCAATTAAAATTTACCTGTTCACTGTCCTCTTTATATTTTTTCCTGTTCTCTTCATATGTTCTCTTTTGAGCAGTTAACTTTTCAAGATCTAATTCGAGTTTCTGAATTGTATCCATGTCATTCATACGAGCTGAAGCCAGATTGGTCAATCGTTCCAGCAAACCATGATTTTCTCTACTCTACAATGAGCAAGACAGGTTGAAAGAAAACAGAAGAATATACACCTGAAACTGTTTAATAGAATCTTGAAGGAAGCACCTGACTTATTTCTGCTCACCATCCTGTATCAGTCATGATTATTTCAACCAAGGATTGTTTCCATTAATTAGATTAAAGCTACCGTCTTAAAATGATTTGGCTGGTATGGCTCTCAAAAATAAGCTGCAAAATAAACATAATATGGAATTCCCAAAAGTTACTAAGTATGTTGCACCAGAGCAGTATCTCACACATCCTTCATCCTAATACACGTAACTCCATCCAAAGAGTGGATGGACTACTTAAGAAACAGTAAGAAAAATGTTAATTGCAGACTCTTTTGATTGGCATAACTAATCCAAAAATATAAGGAAACCCTGGATGATTCTTCCACCCTGGATGTAGGAAGAACACTAGTGGTTTATTATAAAGGACCATATCCCTTACATATTCTTCTGTCTTGTCAAGTAAAGTATAGATATTGGAATTCACATAAGCCTCTAGTCAACATGAGAGCTTTGAATAAAACGGATATGATAAAAAAATTAGTACAAATCATAACTGACTGGTGTCCCTCACCTGTTCTTCTATCTTTTTCTGCAGCTGCTGAACTCTGTATGAAAGCTGGATATTCAACACAAACCGCCGAATATTCTGAAATCTGCGCCTGGCAAGCCATGCACGAGCGTGTTTCTGAAGGATCACAGCCTTATGTTCTTCAAGCATCTTTAAAATAAAATACCAACATCTGTCTATAATTACCTAAGGCTCAATCAGCATCAATTATAACATTCTCTGAATCTACATACACTGATAATGACAATGCTTGTCACGGAAGTATCAAAATACTGAAATACCGAGACTGCAGACACATTTGAACAACTGTAGTAATCACACTAAATGATCGGCATGAAGTATAAACCAGACAGAGTTCTTGGTAGCTCAGCGATTACATCTAAGTAACAATATAAAAAGAGTAGAAGATATGAGAATGCAGACATGCAAAAGGTAAAGCATAAGGGATCACTGCCCTTGTCTCCATCTTTCTTATAGAGCAATAGCTGTTTCCAGTTACTGAAATAAAATTTTTAATAGGCTGTACCTTCCGGTATTTTTTTCTTGCTAGAAATCCTCTTGTATAAGCTTGAATTGTTACAGCAGCCACGTGGATGAGCTGGCAAAGTCTACGGACCAGGTAACCCCGACAGTATTTCTGAATAATTATAGCTGCCCATGTTTGCTTCAGAGTTCTTGCAGTTATAGCTTGCCTTAATTCAAAAGACAATAAAGTTTACTTAGGTTACATTAGATTTCTCATGCTCATTCCCTTGGTCAGCCAAATCACACACAAAAGAAGAAGATATTGAAAACAGGCATCCACTATCTAAAATACAGCTTTTTCTTCAATCAAAGTGAGAGAGAGGGAATTATTCACAATCTTTGAAATCTGTTCCACAAGCAATTCTGATGGTCTCTTTCTGAAAATTTCAAAGCCTACATAGAGCCATCTTCCTCTCAGTCTGCTCTGTGAATTACTGGGGCAGTTTCTCTACTGCATAATTCCTCATAATAATTTGTGCACACTAATTTGTACACCCTTGCAAATTGCTTTTCCTTTCTGATTTCTTCTCTGGCTCTGAAGCTAAGTAGTAAGCCCAAGCTGACAACTGGGACACTGATCATTAGCTAAGGACTGAGTTTACAGGTAGACAGGCCTCTCAGGAATCTGGCAGACAACATTTGAAATCTGCTAGAGTACTTTCTTCATATCAGCTGAATAACTTGAACATTTTCACATCCATAATCAAGAGGAAATGGAAATACAATCTGAATTGCTCTTTCGTAAAAATTACACTTCCAAATTAGCATTGGGCATTAGTTTGACCTTCTATATCCCTTCAGGCACGGCCTAACAGCAAGTTCATGTATCAGCCAAAAGTACCGTACAGTCCGCTGCCCCCGGAAGTACTGCTGTATTACAACAGCTGCTTGTTTTATGCGAAGGAATTTCTTCCGCTGCAGCCAGCCTCGAACACTCTTTTGGATCATAATGCATGCATGTCTCAGTTTATCTGATCGCAGTTTTTCTAAGTAAGCAACCTGTCCTGCTCTGAAGAAAATTTTTGTTCTCCCAAACTGATATTGGTTACAATCCTGAAAAAGAAAACAATAGGTATACTAAGTTTTTATTTTAATTTGTAGACCAGACACTGACTTCCTTTTATAAATTGTCACTTTAGGCAAGCTCTTCTGCAATGACATGATCTTGCTAAATAAGAATATTTTCTCTGCCTTCTTTGTATATAGGAGTATATGGGGGGGGAATCCACTCAGTAGGAAAGACCCAGAGAATTACATCCAAAAATCACACCCTAGTGCGATCTTATATTCAAGAACACCCAAAGGACAAAAAGCGACCAGGTATTTCTAAAGCTAAGAGCAAGAGGACCACAGTTTTTTAAGGTCTTCATTGGGAATAAAACCCAAACAACACAGTAAACTGAACAGTAAGCAGAGCTTGCCTAACCACTACAAAGGCCTGTTCAGACCCTGTTGGGATGAAGTTTTGGCTTCAACACACAATATGTGAAACAGCACGTTTTTAGAACAGTTCTCCAATATGCTGCATTCCACCATCAAAAGCCTTCTTGCGTAAACTTCTAATACTTCGCAAATCTATATCATTTACCGTTCACTGGTTTATAAATATAGGTAGAATATCTTCCATTTTACAAGTGAAGATATTAAGCACAGAAAGGTTAAATCATCTGTCTACAGCCACAACATGACTCAGTGTCACAACACAAGGTTATTGACTTGCAAGCCTATGTTCAACACACTAAATCAGGAAAGATAGTAATAATGTAAATATCTTTCCTGTTTGAGGCATGGGATACTACTCTTGGGAAAAGAGACCTTTTAGTAGTAATAGATGCTATAATACACAATGGATCAGTGCATACAAACTAACCTGGATTAGCCGCTGCAAAACAATCTTGCAAATCTGCTTCTTATCATTTACGGAGAGTTCCTGCTGTGTCATAAGAATGCTATAACGGCTGAAAAACTCAATGTAAGTCCACCTGGAAAATTAAAAGTTAGCAAATGCAATTCATTTAAGAGAGACGTACGTATTTTTTGACATATGAATGCCCACTGCTATCCCTACCTGGATGGGTAGCTCTGTGCACTAATTCGAATAGTTTCCAAAACACCACATGCTCGCAGCTGCTGAGCCACTCTTTTTGAATCAAACCTAAAAAAGCAGAGTTATATTTTACATTTTTGCTGGGTTTGGCATGCTATAATAATTATAACCATCCTACTAGCTGGATTTCTATTTCTTCCCATAGAACGCTGGACTCCCTACTTTTTATATGGTGTCTCACTTGTTTTTTTAATGTGATAGGGAGTATCTGGGTTTTCTTTTTCTTCTTCAAAACAAAAGGAAGACTATATTTATTTCTCCTTTCTGAAAAGTCCTGTTTCCTTTCAATATTAACTGTGAAAGTTCATATCAGCAAGCGGCAAAGAATCGTGCCACTCTCAGCACAAAACATACCCAGAAATAAATTCCCTCAGCAGTCTATTGGGAAATAATTCTCTCTAGGTACTCTTTAGCACATGGATTTGCTTATGAATATCTGGATTCAAGATTATCAACACAAGGCATGGAAAGACCCTTTCCAATTCTGGACCAGAGCTGGTCTGCCCACAGAGCACTAAGCTACAATGATGATTCATAGCTAAGAGATCCCTGTGGCTGACAGATGGCTATACTGTTCTTTCACAAACTTAAAGTAAGCTCTTCCAGTCTTATTCAGACATGTTTTTATACTATCTAAGCTTTTTTCCCCCTTATTGCTATTACACAGAATAATGAGGTCTCACAGCAGTGACAGTGAAACAGTGCCATTTGTAACATGTTTTACATGGACAGTTTGGCTTCAAGAAACTGAGCTAACACACTTAAAAAAAATAATTTAGAATCAAAGTTTGCCTCTTCCCTCCTACTCAGATATGACGAAAGCTTTTATTTCATTTGTCATTACACTACCTTCCAGCTAAAAGCTGTATAACTAAAACTGGACTCATTCCACATGTCTGCCCACAAAACAGACCAATAGCTGCATCAAGATTAACTCCTGCTTACAGTTAGTGGTTATCAAGCTAGACATAACAATCACGCAAACTATCTAGCGACTGTGATTGTATTATAACATTAAAGCAATATAAAATTGTGGGAAAAAGCCAAGGCTATGTTCAACACTGCTCATACCTTTCCCGACTTCTAAAGCTTTTCTAAATATTTCTGTGGACAAAAGGGAAGTTCACAAAGAAAATGGCAGTGACTTTTATTCCCTAAATAAAAATTGTATCCATACTGCACTAGAGCAAACACACCTGTACAAAATATTGATCAACTTAAATCAAAAGTGGAGAACCTTTCCCCTAAAAATGTTATGACAAACATACAAACACTAATATCTGACTTGAAAAATTTTAGGATACAAAAAATTTTTAAAGTATCAATAAATATTACTGAATTGTTCTATTTTTGTAAGAAGACTTTTTTTTACTTCAGCTATCTCGAAAGGAAAATATTGTTGTTTCTTGTTGTTCAACAATAAAAATTTAGCTTGCTGACATGTAGCTTCCGTGAAATAGAAAAATACTCTTTTAATTTTAAGTAATATAACAGCTCAACACCACTAACATACTTACTCAAAAGGTAACTTCTCATCATTTGGCTTTATGCATCGTACATAATGAGGGGTGGTTGCATTGAGTGTCACCATAAGTAAAGACAAAGAACTCCGGAACTAGAAAATATTAGACATAACAGTTTTGCTAATAAAACATTTACAGCTAAGTAAAAAGTAAAATCTTAGTTTTTTAATTCTTTGTTAGGTTTTGGCTTGACACTGGGAGATTTTCTTAGGGTTTAGATCTTAAACGCAGGAAATTTAACAGTCCTGCTGTACCTAACAGTCTCCTATATATAAATTAAACACACCTACTTATACCCAGACCTGGAGCATTGCACTGTGGCTGGCTCTTGCTGTACTGAAAACTGGATAGTCCCCCACAAATGGTAATAGAATACAGTATCATAGTCTCAGACTGCCCAGTACACTTCCCTGAAAGTACGAGATCGCATTAGGTAGTACCTTACTGCCAACAGTCATCCGGAGTTGTTTGTTAGGTGACTTGAGAACAGGTCTTGCAGATTTGACGTTTATAGTTGAACTGAAAGGTGAAACGGACACTGGATTGTCTTGAAAAAAATTTGCACACAGATGAAACTAGAAGTGTGGTGAAAGAATCACAGTTAAATACTGTGTAACTGTAATAATATTTAAATAAAAATTACATTTACTATAATGTAAAACACAAAACCCATCCATCTTAATGCTTAGGGCAGGTATTGCAGGACTTGGAACCAGATCTTTAAGCCACAAACAAACAACAATTGAAGAAACGGTTGCAACAGTTCTGAGTCTGTTGTGATGCACTTGCACATTTCACAGACAAAACTCAACAACAACTGTTAAGTAGGCCTGCAAAAGCTATTTCAATATGAGCGAACATGGACATAAATACGGAACAGAGTTAAAAATAAGACCACTTAAGGTTGTATTTTCACAATATTTAATTTAAATTAAGAACATGTTTTTTGGTCAGATTAAGTTAGCTTCTTAATAGTAATCCTGAAGTCTCAATGCTGTAGACTTGAAAGGGACAGGGCCTTCAAGCAGATGGGAAGTGGCAGGCACATATAAGACATCTGACGTTTTCCCTGCCCTGGCACTCTCTTAATCTCTTTTGAAGAATAAACAAAGATAGCTGTTAATTATAAACTACTTATCAAAATGACATGTAATGACTACAGAGGGAAAAAAAAAAAGTTCAAGTGTTCAGTTACAAGGATTCCAAAATGTTTTTCAAGGGAGATATTAAGAAAACAAAAAACACTAACATAACTAGCAAAGTAAATGCACATACATGAAAAAGTTGAATGCTGTGTTTTTCCATCTGTATGTTATTTTGACATTAAAAATACACACTTGTAGAATATTAATAAAAATTAAGACTAAACTAATTGATTCAACCTATTAAAAAAAATCTTTTTATCAGAACAAATCTTTTAAAATCAGATCTGAATAAATTCCAGTAAAATCATGTATTCAGAAAATGAATCGTTACTGTTGTTTACAAACCTTGCTCTCTTTCAAGATTTCAGTCAATATTTCATGTACTGTATCTCTGTTTTTTTCCAGAAATCCTTCACATTTATATTCTACCTGTGCAAATGGGTGAAATCATTAACTTTTCAGCAATACATGAACAGTTAGCAAAACAGTAATTTTTACTCTCTAAGCTGTGGTGACCAACAGCTCTTTATTAGTCTTAAACATGATGGCTGAAACTCTGCTTTTTCCAGTTTCATTATGGCAAGCATACATACATGCATACCGCAAACTCAGAAGCGGGACAAACTGCAATTTCCTTCTGCCTTCATTAGGAATTTCTTTCCTCCTCTCTTCATTATTCTATGATTTCAAATCAAAATACCAAAAAAGGAATACTACATTTGAAACATAAATAACTGAGACTAAAATGCGTACAGACTACAATCTTAACTATTTTATTTATACATTGTACTCTTTTTCTGACTCTTTATCTTGATGATTTATTTTTACACTCTCAAATTCATTATCTTAAGCACTTCTTATGTTTAAATGGCGTGTTATGGGCAGTATTACCAATAAATAAATAGTACTATGTATTGAAGATCCATTTTATAGAAGTTCCAAACAAGTGTGGTTAATATTTCCTCTATTTCCTAAGTTGGTTTCTTTTCTGAAGGAGCTACTGCTAGAAACAGGGCGAAATAATACTGGGTTGTTTACACTCTACCTTATCAGCAAAGTGTTGAATGATGAAAGACGTGTTTGACATCCTCGGCTTTTCAAAGAGTGAGTTTTTATTGACAAAATTATTATATAGCTTTTGAAGCCAGTTCTCATCTGTTCCATGAGGTAACTGTAAAAATGAGAAGGGCAATCTCTTTAACAAAATTCTGTTGGACTGTTAAAAACAGCAAAACTGCTTACTGTCAATCAATACTGTCTGAATAAAGCATCTTCAGTGAGTTACGAGGCCTGATAACAACCAGTTTTTGTCTTTTCCGACAGTGGCTCCCTGTAGCAAATAATCTTAAGAAAGAAGGTCATATTAATCCAAAAATTTGCTGGCTAGAGTTAATTCTCTGATAAGTCATAAATAATTTTGTCCTGAGAGGATGCTACCTGCTATCAGGGACAAGCTGATCCCTGAGAATGCTAATGAGCAGAACAACAGATAAGCTAATAAATTAGGGAATATTCCCTAATTTCTCCCATATTACCCCATGGTTTGGATTCTGAGAAGTACGACTTGCCAATATCACCAAAACACCTTTTAGAGACCATTTAACAGGGCTCACCTTTCCCTGCCCTGTTCTTCACTGACAAAGCTACTTCAATAGGTTTAGAAGCCTAAGGGAACTACATACATATGTAGAAGAAAGAAAATACAGATTCAGGAATTGCTAGTCAGGAGAGAGCGCGCATAGGGAAAAACACTAAGACTGAAGAAGAAAAAGCAAAGATGTAGGTTCGGTGCATTCAGCAAGAACTTACCAAAATGGAAAGGAAGACTGTTTTTTTTTTGTACCAAAATTAGTGATTTGTGGAATAACTGAATTATAGAAGTATTGGTGGAAGAGACCCCTGGAGACTGGGTAGTCCAAATGCCTGCTCGCAGCAAAACTACCACCAACACTAGGTCAAGCTGCCATTTGAACTCAAATCTGGAAAGTATCCAAGAATGGGGATCCCACTGTACCTCTGCTTAACCTGTTCTAGTACCGCAGTACCCTCACAGTGAAGAAATCTAGTTGCTGGGTTAGCTTCTAGGTAAGAATCTAGTTTTAGGTTCTTGATTTTATAACAGAAAAATACACTAAGTGGCTTACAATTAAAATTAACAAATAGAGGGCAAACATTAATATTCCTTTTATGAGGAAAATGCTCTACTTTCACTTAGAAGTACAAAATACAGATTCCAAGCCCAACTTGTAAAAATCTATCTATTTTTTTATGAGCTCATAAATACAAGAATTTTTAAATTACCAAGCACTCTTCATCCAGAAGTTCTAAAATTCCCATTTTAGCTTCAATAAGGTCAATGACAGGCTGGTTGTCATAGAAGTCTACTAAAGTCCAAGGGATATCTTCCTTCATATATTCTTCTTGTTCAAGTTTAAAGACATGCTAGATATGTGAAAGTTATGAAAATGTAAGGTTATAATTAAGGAAGAAAATACATACAATGTGTGCATGTGCGGTGCTGTATATATAAGATAGAAATAAAATATTTATATATTTTGTAGTATACTATGTGTCTGTCTTGTAAGAAAATAAACTCAGAAATTTTCATTTATATATCTATGTGTGTATGTATAGATATAAAAAAATAAAATATTTTTATCTATTACTGGATAGCCATTATCCAGAAATATCCATTACTCAGATACAAATAGCATTTGCTAATATCCATTATTGATAATCTCAAAACTGAAGCAAAATAAGATAAAGAACTGTAACAAATAAAAGAACATACCAGGTTAAATTGCTGCTGCAGTTTTTCATTCGCGTAATTGATGCAAAACTGTTCACATCAAATGTTTCAAAGCTGAAACACATGTCAAATAAGAAAAAAAAAAATCCCTTGACGTTTAAATACAAATAGTAGTATACTTGTAAGACTTCGGAGCTATCCTAATATTTCTGAGAAAATTAAATAGCCCTAAGACTAATGAAGATGCTAGGGCATTTCAAAACTTCCCTAGAAGTTAATGTTACCAGACATAACAGAGCTAAAAAATCCAGAGTTAAATCTAGAAGTATCATATCAAAAGTTAAATTTAAACCTCATTCACAAAAAATACTAATACTTATAGTTGCTGAACATCTCCACTACTCTGGATGCTAAAGAACTTACATGACTATGACCTTTTAGTAAAACAAACCATTAGCAGCACAAATTGAAAAGTGCTGCTTTTCATCATCAACACCAAAGAAAAGGCACAACTTAAGGTAAATTTGTTTCCAGAGACATTCTTACCCGTAAATGTCCAAAACACCAATAAAAGTATGTTGTTTGCCAGGGAACTGCAAAGCTTTGTTAATTCTTTCCACAATAAAGTCAAATAAATGAGAATAGATCTTCTTTGCCAGAGCATCCCTTGCATTAACAGCCTGAGCTCTTGTCATTGGCTTTATTACAGTCTCTGAGGTAGTGATAATCTTTCGGTGGCACAACCATTGTGCCATTTTGTCACAGTTTAAATCCAGAAGTTCACAGAATATATTGAGATGTTTATCTTCCAGCTTTAAAGAAGAGAAATAAATATTGTTAGTTTACATTTAGTAGAATCATAGAATCATTAAGATTGG